CCATTTGTTCTCCAAAATAAAGCACAAGCTTTTATTCTATATATAAAAGACATATCAGGAAATTTTTCATTTTGGGTCAGTGTGGGCAGTAGAGTCCTATGGTTGGACAGTAGACAGTGTGATAGTATTTCAAGACCACACACGACAACTTTCATTGATAGCTTGTATTTGCAATTATCCCAGTTTGTTGGTCTTTACCTAATAAAATTGTAGTAATTAATTATGACTTACCTGAATGAGTGTCTCATATTTCTTAAGCACTCTTGGTTGTGTTCTTGTTTTGTTTTTAACAGGGTGCATTCTGGGGTCTGATGGTTGGACTTGTGATGGGCCTTATCCGTATGATTCCCGAGTTTTCTTATGGGACAGGGAGTTGCCTGGTCACCACTAACTGTCCCAAGATCATCTGTGGAGTGCACTATCTATATTATGCCATCATTCTCTTTTTCGTGTCTGTGTTGGTTATCCTGGGAGTTTCTTTGTTAACAAAACCCATTCCTGATGTACATGTGAGTAATGCACAAACTAGTAGTTCTTTGCTTTCATAATTTGCATAATGGCAACTTCAGTTAATGCCAGGCTAATGGGATTGTTGAACTGTTAGATTTAAGAGGAACTTAAATGATAACCAATCAGTTATTCAACTGAACAATTTGATTGAGTATGTATGAAGCAACAGTATATTGCTAAGAGGCTAAGAAATGGGCAGAAAGTTTTTTAGTGCCATTAAAATGCCTCCACAGTTAAAACGGCTTTCTGAGCAAGCCCAGGAATAACCTGAGTTCAATCCCTGAAACCCACCCACATAATGGCTGAAGGAGGGCACTGACTCCACAAAATCATCCTCTAACTGCCATACATGCCTGTGAATGCACCCACAAACACATATCACAAACAAACAATAAAAAAACAGTGAGCATACCATTTCAAAAGCTTCATGATGCAGCTAGAGAGTAATTCTATGCCATTGTTATAGACACTGGGAAGGGAAGAATCTCTATTGTCCAATACATAGAGGATGATCTTACAAGATAACTTACACTTCTCTAGGTTGCAGCTGGTTTTTTTATTCTTTGCTCTTTGGGGTTCTGCCACCCAGCCCCTAAATAAGTACACAGAGACTTATTCTTACTTATGAATATGCAGCCTTATCTAGCTTGTTTCTAGCTTTTCTTAATTTAAATTATCCCATCTACCCATTGCCTCTGGGCTTTTATCTTTCTCTATTTCTTATATACCTTTCTTTCCTTTTTACTCCATGGCTGGCTGTGTTGCTGGGTAGCTGGCCTCAGGCATCCTTCTCCTTTTTCGATCCTCTCTTCTCTAGATTTCTATTATTTATTCTTTCTGACTGCCAGCACTGCCTAATTTTTTCTCTTGCCTAGATATTGGCTATTGAGTTCTTTATTAGACCAATCCCATTTTAGGCAGGCAAATAACACAGCTCCACAGAGTTAAACAAATGCAGCATAAAAGAATGCAATACATCTTTACATCATTAAGCAAAAATTCCACATCATAAATGATGTAATATATCTTAAGCTAATATTCCACTTTTCCCCTTTTGTCTAAATAAAAATGAAAGGTTTTAACTTTAACACAGTAAAACTATATACAACAAAGACTGTTATCAAGTAATAGTTACATTTACAATATTCACTCCATTTGTATTTAGCAAGTTCAGAGGAAATACTTCATTATCTATCTTATCTTAGTGATTCCAAAGTTTTATAGCTAATTTACTTTCTATAATAAATTAGAAAAACTATAACTACTACTTAGTCTTCAACTCCATCAAAGACCCCAGAAGGATGTATTATTAC